TGAAGGATCATGTGACACTGAAGACTGGAGTAATGATGCTGAAAATTAAACTTTGCGTCACAGGAATAAATTACATTTTAAAATATATTAAAAAAGAAAACTGTTACTCTACATTGTAAAAATATTTCACAATATTAATTATTTTACTGTATTTTTAATCAATTAAATGTAGCCATGTTGAGCATAAGGGACTTATTTTAAAAAAAAAATTTTTTTTAATTACTGACAAACCTACAAACTTTTGAACAGTATTTAGTTGAACTTGAATGCAGACTAAGTCACTTTAGATAAACGTGTACTAAATGTGTGAATGTAAATGACATCAATGAAGTACCATCTCATTAATGCCTGAATTGAGTCCTCAATCCAAGTTTACTCTGGCTCCAGTGACAAATCAAAGCGAAAAGATGCAGTTGACAGTGACAGCTTTGTTTAGAGCTTGTGAAACTTGTTCGACATACTTTCACTTTATATTAAAACTCATAAGTGTGCCATCTTTTGATAAAAATAGATGTGCTTTCTTCTCAGATGCCTGGCATTACAATGAAGCAGAATCTAAATCTGGAATATTCACCCAAGATTTATTCAGCTTTGCGTCACAGGAATAAATTACATTTTAAAATATATGAAAAAAGAAAACTGTTACTCTACATTATAAAAATATTTCACAATATTAATTATTTTACTGTATTTTTAATCAATTAAATGCAGCCATGTTGAGCATAAGGGACTTATTTTCAAAAAAAAAAAAAAAAATGACTGACAAACCTACAAACTTTTGAACAGTATTTAGTTTAACTTGAATGCAGACTAAGTCACTTTGGATAAACATGTCTACTAAATGTGTGAATGTAAATGACATCAAAGAAGTACCATCTCATTAATGCCTGAATTGAGTCCTCATTAAATCCAAGTTTACTCTGGCTCCAGTGACAAATCAAAGCGAAAAGATGTAGTTGACAGTGACAGCTTTGTTTAGAGCTTGTGAAACTTGTTCGACATACTTTCACTTTATATTAAAACTCATAAGTGTGCCATCTTTTGATAAAAATAGATGTGCTTTCTTCTCAGATGCCTGGCATTACAATGAAGCAGAATCTAAATCTGGAATATTCACCCAAGATTTCACATTTATACATTAACAAGACGAATTAATCCTTTTTAACACCTCCAGGTTTTTCATTTTGTCTTTTTTTCATTCACATGCTTCTCTCTGTGCAATTTTCCAAATTACCCATTTACCATTTAGTAGATGTTTATCCATTATTCGCCTGAAAGTGCAGTTATGTTGTCCATTTTAAGCTAATGTCCCTTCACATTACCCTAAAATGTAGATGCTGGACACTTTCTCTCTCTGAAAAAGCTTTCTCTGCACTTCCACAATACCAAATGCTGCAGATAACAGCAGCAGCAGCTGCTTCCCCGGTTTATTTGCAATCTGCAAATTTAGGGCTCCACAATCACTTTGTCGGGAAGAGACGTGGCAGGGAAGGCACACTGCATGTTTAACACCGTTCATATTTAGATCTCACTGGTGTCTGAAGCAAGGTGATAATTATGAAGGGTCAATACACAGCATGTTACATTATACACATGCCTGCTATTCCTGTCCAGCCCACCCGGGATGAGCCAATAAATCAGCTTGTTACAGGATTGTCACAAGCCCAAGTCCTCTATGGGACCGTTACCGGACTGATCAGTGACGTGCTAGTGCTTTCTTTGATTTAGTACCAGCTTCCTGTTACTCATCATTAGATCCGCTGGGATACTGACACATCATGGACACCCACAATCTGTCATTTAAAATGCCCTACACTGTTTTTACACACGTTATGCTTCTAGCCTTTCATTCTTTGAGGCATTTATATATGTCTATTCTTTCCATCTTTCTCTGCAGTAACACAGACGTTCACACCGTGGCATCTTTGCTGAAGCTGTACTTGAGAGAGCTGCCCGAGCCGGTCATCCCGTTCTGTAAATACGAAGAGTTTCTGGCCTGCACCAAACTCCTCAGCAAAGACCAGGATGCAGTGAGTTATCTCTTGTTGACCATCACATTGCAAGCATATAATCCTGTTGTATATACTTGGTGGCTATAACATGTCTCATTACTCAAGGGTGCAATGGTTTTCTTCAAATGTTTGTGTCATTAATGATGAAAGTTGCCAAATACATATACAGTACTACAGTTCTAATGTTTGGGGTGGGTACACTCTTAAAAATAAAGGTGCTTCACGATGCCATAGAAGAACCTGTCTAAATGGTTCCATAAAGAACCTTTAACATCTGTTTCACAAAAGGTTCTTTGTGGCGAAAGAAGGTTCTTCAGATTATAAAAAGGTAAGAAAGACATGATTCTTTAAAGAACCTTTGACTGAATGGTTGTTTATGGAACCATAAATGGTTCTTCTATGGCATCGCTGTGAAGAACCTTTTAAGCACCTTTATTTTTGAAGTGTAATGTTTTTTTTTTAATGGTGGTGAAAGAAGATTCTTATGCTCATCAAGTGTGCATTTATTTAATCAAAAATGCAGTAAAAACTGTAATATTGTGAAAAATATTATTACAATTTAAAATATCAATTTTTTATTTGAATATATTTTATCATTTATTTCTGTGATGCAAAGCTGAATTTTCAGCATCATTACTCCAGTCTCCAGTGTCACATGATCCTTCAGAAATCTTTCTAATATGCCAATTTGCAGCTTAAAAAAAAAATTCTTATTAATATCAATGCTGAAAACAGTTGGGCTGCTTAATGTTTTTGTGCAAACAGTGATTTTTTTTTTCAGGATACTTTCAAAAGTTCAAAAGTACAGTTAAAATGAGGCAAATTAGGCCTGAACTAAGGGACTTTTGCTCTGGTTCTGTTGTTTGTCATTTAGCATTTTACAGTACTTTGTTTAAAAGCCTAAATTTTTAACTTAAGCTACACAATTCCTAAAGTTAACAAATGTAAAGGATGTTGTTTTTTTCATAATGAGCCTCACTGTAGACTCAAAACATTGTTGACCTTTTTAGCTCCCCTCCTTTTGCTATTTCTTATTTTTGAGTTCGGTTGCCACCAGCAGGCTGAGAGAATGGCAAATGACTCATCCCATTATTCTACTGCAGTCGTCTTTCATCTTGCGTGCATCAATTCCTTACTTTCGCTGAGCCTGAAGAAGAACGGGTTGACCCCGAGGAACGGAAACAGCCTCATTCTGACTTTCAAGTTACACTTTTACCTCGTGAGGATCACCTGTGCGTCAGTCAACGGCTTTTGAATGGTTTCAGGATAGAATCAAAGTGCAAGACGGGGTCTTGCAACACTGAATTTAATTTACTGCCCCGAGGTTTTGAACGAGATTCGTACCTCTGAGAGTCCCTCGAGTGCGGTACACGCAAAGAATCGCGGTACCATGTCAAATGAAGCAGAAGGCTTTACTAGATCCATTTGTTTTTGAGAAATAGCTTTCTCGTGTGGTGCAGCAAAGTCATATTCATCAGAGAGAGCCTGCAGGGAAAAGACATATCGACCATGATAAAAACAGATCTGGAATGGAGCGAATCATTAAATCTAGACCGTCATCAATTGTTAAACTCACTGACCCATGCCTAGACGAATAGTGCCGTAATAACGGAATAAATTGCAATATGAATATTTAAAGTCAACTTGGAAGACTTTTAAAACGAATGGGATAGGTTTAATTGCTTTTTCATTCAGTACGTCTTTTAATCATGCATATTAGTCCAGATCATTTAAAATTGAATTACTGTAATCAGTTTAAACAAAGGCACACATTTGTATTTCTTTTTATCCTGGATGTGTATTTAATTATTATTATAATTTTTTAATCTCTCTCTGTGCAGGGAATGAAGGAATTAAGAAGGCAAGTAGAAGGTCTACCTCCGGTAAACTACAATCTGCTTAAATACATATGCAAGTAGGTGATTTTGTATTGTATTCCATTCAGCTGTGGCTTATCACAAAATATTATATAAAACATATGTAATAGTTATTTGCACTAGTGGTGGGAAGTTGAGTCACTGAGTCAATCCAATCAATTGATTCATTCAAAAACCTTGATGCATTCAGGAACAAAACAAGTGACTGTGAGTGAGTCACTGAGTCAATTCACTCAATTGATTCATTCAAAAACCCTGATGTATTCAGGAACAAAATAAGTGACTGTCTTTGAGTGAGTTCTGGATTAATCCATTCAATCAATTCATTCAAAAACACTGATTCATTTGTGAATGAAAAAAGTGACTGTCTTTAAGTGAGTCACTTTGTCAATTCACTCAGTCAATTCATTCAGAAACACTGATGCATTCAGGAATTAAATAAGTGGCTGTCTTTGAATGAGTCAGTGAATCAATTAACTCAGTGGCACTATTTAAAAAAATAAAAATAAACATTTTACGTTAAATAACTTGTATGATGTTTTCATAGCATAATATCAATTTTAGAGTTTTGAAAACAAGTTTTTGCATTGCATTTATTTGTTGTGAAAAAAAATCGTATTTTTGTTTGCAACAATCAAGTTTTTATTTATTTATTTATTTTTTGCCACACATTCAACTTTGTACATACAGTTTCTGAAATCTCAGTTGTAATGTTAAGACCCTTCTTTATTGTCCAGGTTTTTGGATGAAGTTCAGTCCTACTCAGGTGTGAATAAAATGAGTGTACAGAATCTGGCCACGGTCTTTGGGCCAAATATTCTAAGGCCAAAGGTTGAGGACCCAGTGACTATAATGGAAGGTAGGTCTTCCTATCCATATCTCTCACTCCAGAAATCTCTGGATCTGGATTATATTTAGTGTTTGAGTAATCTATTTATCATGTGTTCAGGCACAGTACTAGTCCAGCAATTGATGGCTGTTCTGATTGGCCGCCATGATGTTATTTTCCCACCCGATGAGGACCATACTAACACTCTGGAACTGGTTAATAATAACAATAATGAGACGCAGAAACGGCCTACGAATGGTCAGATTCAAAACAAAGAGAACAATAACACCAGTGGGGTGCGACAGTGCACTTGGGACACGCCAGAATCACCCAGCCGGGCTCCTCTGGACAATGGCTCTCCTCGTTCAGGCAGCCCACGTAATGGTTTTACGGGACAGCGATTCGAGGTGGCCCGCAGTCCGCCGATCTCCGTGAAAAAGAACCCGGCGTTTAGCAAAGGGAGTGGGATTGTCACCAATGGATCGTTCAGTTCATCCTCATCGTCCTCAGGTGATGCCAATCGGGAGAAAATTCTAACCCTACCGAACATGGGAACCCTTCATGCCCGTCGGTCGGGTGCGATTAAAGGTTCAGGCACCAAAATGGGCGTCCAGAATGGCATCGTTCGGATGGGCGTATCCAGCGCAGATGTGACAAATGGGACTCTAAATGGACGGAATGGACTCTGGGTGCCCAACGGTCACGTCACGATGCGCGAGACTAAAAGTCGAGACGCCGAGCACCAGCAGAACCGCCTGTCTACGTACGACAACGTCCACATCCATCAACAGCAGACCACGCAGCCCAGTCTGAGCAGCAGCTGTGAGGACAAACAGAGCGTGGATAGCGCCACATGGTCCACCTCGTCTTGCGAGATCTCTCTACCAGAAAACTCCACTTCTTGCCGCTCGTCCACGACCACGTGCCCAGAGCAGGACTTCTTTGGCAGCAACTTTGAAGATCCTTTGTTGGACGGGCGGGAGCACAACGGACTGGCGGTGGATGATAAGGAGCAGCGGACCAGTAACGGAGGAGGCCAGGGAAGCAGAGGAACCAGCAGCAGTGATAACAGCGAAACGTTTGCCGTCCCGAATGGACCGACCAATCACAGTGCTCTGCACAGCCTGGTGGCCAGTCTCAAACAGGAAATGCTCAAGCAGAAGAACGAATATGAGGCCAGGATCAAGTGGTGAGAGTCATGCTCAATCATAAAATTAACTTTGCAGAGCACAGAAACTAGTGATAGTTTTTTTTCACAGTTTTAATGAAGTTAAAAATCAATAGAAAATAAAACAAATGAAATGTTATTTTTCGCCCAAATTGTTTCCAACCTGCATTGCTTCGTTAAATGGAGATGGAAAATCATTTCCATTTATATATTTTTTTATGTGATTTATAGGAAACTAAAACAAGAGAACTGAAACCAAATGAGGGAAATGCCAATAAATAAATAAATAAATGAGAAAAAAAAATAAATCATACACTCTTCAGTATGGTACAAATATGAGATATGGCAAACATTTGAATATTGTTCTGTCTTCCCTGTTACTTTTTTTGGAAAATCTATCACTGCCCCCCCAAAAAAAACTAGCAATGTAAAGAGGTTTTTATTTAAAACAAAACAAAAAAAGCCAGTGGGATGGAAACACCTAAATTGCAAAAAAAAAAAAAAACAAGAAGTAGTAATTACAAAAAAATAAAAATACTTTTGATTATTTACTTTTTTAATAAAATAATAAAAGAAGTACTTATTTTTAATAAAATAAAACAAATATCTATTTTTAATAAAATGAAGTGATATTTATTAACTTTTTAATAAAATAATCTATATTTGAAAAAATATATATTTATTTACTTTTAATAAAATAAAAATCTTTATTTTGAATTATTATTACTTATTTTTACTAAAATGAAAAAAATATGTACTTATTTCTAATAAAATTAAACAAATATTTACTTTCAATAAAATTACAAATATTAACTCAATTTTTATAAAATAAATAAATAACTTATATTTATTAACTAATATATATATATATATATTTATTTTAATAAAATGAAAAATATTTACATTCAATACAATTAAAAATATGAACTAATTTTTAATAAAAATGAAACAAATATTTATTAACTTATGTGTATTAACTTATATAACATATATAACGTTAATAAACATAATAAGTTCATATATGTTAATAAATATTTGTTTCATTTTATTAAAAATTAGTTAATTTTTTTCATTTTATTGAAAGTAAATATTTTTCATTCCATGACAGAATTAACTCTTACCTAAATCAACTCTTTAAGTGTCTCATTAAACTATCACAGTATTAAAAGGTGTATTTACCCACCTTTTCCCATCTTCCCTGTAGTCTGGAACTTCGGAATCTAGAGTTGGAAACGGTGATGGCGAATCTACACGAAGAGCTTGACCAGGAGAAGAAGAAATACACCATGGTGGAGATCAAGCTGAGAAATGCAGAGCGAGCCAAGGACGATGCAGAAAAGAGAAACGAGATGTTGCAGAAAGAGATGGAGCAGTTCTTTTCCACCTTCGGAGACCTGACCGCAGACCTGCCACAGCCCGACAGAGCCAACACCATCTGGATCCAGTGAGCCGTTAGCGGTCTACCATTAACATTCCATTGTGTGGGCTTGTGTTCAGACAGAACGGGACTAAATCAACCTTCACGTTTGGTGCAAAGGTTCGACACGACTGAGCGAAGCCCATTGAGCCAAATTTTCAGAACTGAACGTGGACCAGTTGTTGGATTGAACCAGTTGGATTCAAGAAGAGGGATGATGGGACGATGCAGCTTGGATGTTAAAATAAAAGATGATTTTCAAACCAAAAGAAGGCAATTCTGACCTGAGAGCGAATGATAAGAGGAACTCTTGACGGTTGAGGTTGAATGCGAGGGAATTAATCAATTACATGAATGAACATTGAGTTTTAGATGATGGGAAACTCCTGAAGGACGACAGAAGCACGAATGTCACTCCTATTTCTTCTTGTGATCCAACCAAATGTGTCCTTGAGCTGTCATGCATCCTCTCGTGTATATAAAGGAGAAACAATGTTCAAAATTCCACAATGAAAAACAAATGTCTGTATAAACGCAAATTAATGTTTAATGTACGTACTGATATTTAAACTGAGAATTCTCAATGTGTTACATATCGATTTTATATCAAGGCTTTTCCTTGCACTTAAAGCATATGAGTTGCTATGTTGTTTTGCAGTATGGTACGTTATGAGATGTGGCAAATATTTTAATATCAGTCTTCCCTGTTGCTTTTTTGCATAAGTTGTCACTGCAAATAAAACATTTTCTTCATCAGTATTAAAAATGAAATTAAGCATAAATCTATATATAGATATATATATGAAGAATCAGTTTTTTTGCAGTGCCACAGCGTTCCCCACATGACCAAATCCAAGTAGACCTGTAAATACTTGTGAAAACACTGCAAACGCTCAGCCTGTCTTTGTCATTTGTGCCTGTCGCACATCATTTGCTTGCAGCGGTGCTAGACGGGAAGAAGTGTGTTAAAATGAAGACCGAGATGGGGTTTGTTCATCTGGGGTCATTTGCCTTGTCGCAGCTGTCCATGCTTCTACTGTAGCTTGATGCATTCAGTGAAATGCAATGAAATTAAATTATGTGACCTCATTTACACTTGTCTTAAATTGTGTTGTGTCATTGTATCAGTCGCTGGGCTCGACCACACATGGAATCTGTGGGTGGTCTGATATTTACAACCACATTAATAAGACTACAGCCTCCCAAACAAATCTGGACATTTTCCTTGAACTAAAGTCGATGTCCTAAAAAAAAAAAAATGATTGTGTCCAATCATTATAATTCTTAAAGATATAAAAAATGCACCAAAACACAGAGCAATTATGGGAATATTGACCCAGTCTGAATCTGGGTGGGCTTTTATATCTTTTCTCACTGTAATGCATTTGTGTATGTGCAGGTGTGGATGTTCATTTAGGAACATTTCTCAATATTGTGTTGCAAGCTCTCACTAAAAGATGCAAGAATAAACGTAAGCATCATTTCCAAACCTGCATGACTTGAAAATCCATAGAGCTCAAAAAAGAAAGCATGATAAAAGTGTTACATTTGACTATATTCCAAGTCATTTTTCACAAATTAACACTTCCTCCACCACAGCTATCAAATCTCATATGCTTTGCACAAAGTCACACTTGATACTGTGCGTCACATATGGACACAAAACACACATGCACCAATGACAAGTGCAGCTGTAGTATCTTTCTGAAGGGTTTTTATGGTATATTGCACTCACACACACACCAAAAAAAAGTTTTTGGAACAGTGTTGTTTTAGTATAATTCGTGTACTAAAATGATATTTATTAATATTTCAGGTTTTTTTTTTTTTCAGTTTTCCTTTAAATTCAAGTTTAGTTTTTTTTTGGTCCCCCCCCCCCAATTTCAATTTCTATTTATATAATTTTTATTTCCGTTTTAGCAATTGAAGTATTTGTACTTGGGCAACATTTCTCATTTTTCATCTTTTATTGATATAATACTGTATTATTACAATTTAACTTTTCGATTAAATGTAATTTATTCCTCTGATGACAAAGCAACCCATTTTTAATGTCCAATCTCCAGTGTCACATGATCCATCAGAAATTGTGCAACCTTTATTTTATTTCAGCTTTTTTCAATTAACCACCACTATTTTTAATGGCTTTAGTTAACGATGGCAACACAGCTTTGGAACAGCATGAGGCTAATTGAATAACACTTTTTATTTTTTGGTGTTCTTATGAACTAATAATTTGCTACAGACTTCTAGCGCTGCCCCGGTGCACTCTGGGAATTAACATCCTTGTCATCTCACCCAGTATAATGGTGTGTTTGAATTTAAAGCTCCCTCTAGTGTATTTCACTGAACCTATTAGAAGAGCCATCGGGGGGCCTGCGCTCTCCATCCCGCAGCAGTCTGGCTCACACTCCGCACCTTTCTTCACTGGATAATAGGCTTAAAGCAGCCGGACAAAGTAAACGCAGCCTGCAAATTCCATTCTGAGCTACCAATGACAGAAACGAGCGGGATCCAGGAATATTTTCACGCCAAGCTTGAGCTGAAGAATACAAACCTCTGGAGCTGGAGAGAAGCACAGATAATAGAGTGCTTCTCATGCAGGGACCGTCTTTTGTTGGCGATTTGGGTTTTGCTCCATTTTATAGAACTAAACCAAATGAGATGGAAGTCCACTGTAAGGTAACAGAGCTATTGAGATGATAAATATGCTTCAGTCAAGAGTGTGTGTGTGAGAGAGGGTTGAATAAAATAAAATAAGAACTGTATGGCGGTGGCCCTAACAAGGTCAAAAAATATCAAACCATTTCTGCTAACAAATGCTTTCACCTGGGTGTCAAAGTGAATTATAGTGGATTCAACTCAAGTTTGTGCAGGTGTTCAAGCAAAATCAGTTTATCATTCAAAATCTTTTGAAATGTTTAGCTTGAAATGCTTCCACTCTATTTGGACAATGCATTTCCAAGGCCTCTTTCCAGTCATTTTTGAACACTGGAGAAGGATTTTAAATAAATTCAGTGATGAATCATTCAGAATGATTTGTGAACCAGTCTTACGGAGTCATTAAAAAGTATGAACTCGAAAAGACAATTTACTCATGCATTGGACGTCACGCCCTCTGTTAGTTTTATTCTACACAACAGCAACTTCTATCTTCAACAAATTGTGGCATCACATAAATAAATACACATACTTCAATTTAACTCAGTTGCTGCCTTAAAAGTAATTAAATTGGCTGTACAAGCCATTTCTACTTATATTAAACTGACTTTAAAAAAATGTAGTTGAATCTCACTTAACTTTAAAAAAATAATTGAAATTGGATCAATTATGAGGAGTTAATAAAACCATGTCACCATGACTAGATGACTTTTTTTGTACACTGTAGGAATGTCACTTCTCATATTTCACCCTCAAACAAATAACTAAAACTTCCCATGAAACTGAGAGAAAACTATGGAAAGCTAAACCTGTGCCATATTAAAATCTAGTTTGGCTCAGAGGATGAAAGTAATGGTATTTGATTATTAATATATGCACATATGGTGAATCTCTGTGTTGAAGGATTAATTCATATTCAGGAGTTGTGAACTCTTCAAAGGTGGGCTTGAGAAGGGCCAAAAGCACAAATCTCAAAAATAAACCTAAAAGCAGCTTTCCTTCAAGATCTGGCTCACTGGATTCTCAAAAGAAGAAAAAAAACGTTTCTCCCCCTCTTCGCTTTGTATTAAAAGAAAGAAAAATCACATTCTTTCTCTGCCCACTTTCTCAACACAAAATCTCTCCTATCACACAAAACCCTTCAAGAATTAGTTCTCTCACAAACAAACAAACATAAGAACTTCTTTCTCTTTTATCAGATGGCCACAATTGAAATGGGGGCTTTTAAATGTTTCTCTGTAACCTGCATCACCTGTCTTCACTAATTAGCCAAACTCACATCAATTAACCCATTAAAGATTGTGCCACAAAAAAACTTCAAAAGAGGATGACAGAAAGACAAGATGAAATGTCTTGATAAACTGAAAAACAAATATAGCTGATCAACTTAATTAAGGTCTTTCTAAGAAAAAAAAGTATCAATGTCCGGGTCAGCTGGCATAGGCTGTGAAATGAATTAGCTCTTCCACATCTTGAGAAATTCTCAGAAAGACTCCATGTGTGATCAGCTGTGATTAAGAGGATCATTTTACCTTTGAAACTTTGAATCATAGAGTGATTAATACTTCAAACCCTTAACTTCAGTGCTGACTGCAGACTACTTGAGTGTGAACCACAGCGAGCAGCGAGATTTTTTCTGAGTGACATATTTTTCATTACAATGTTTTTACCGTTTTAATAGGTGTGTGTGTGTATATATACAGCATACAGTATATATATATATATATATGTATATATATATATTATATATATATATATATATATACTGTATATTGAATTATTATATACAATGATTGATGAGTTTATTTTCATTTAATAATAAAATCAATGACATTTTTCATATGTGTTTGTATTATACATTTATACTGATTATGAATTACTTAATAATTTAGCATGTTTTTAGGTAACTTATTAGTTGACATCAGGAAATTTAGGGTTATGTGGCATGCTAATGTAAACTGAAATACTAAATTAAACGGCATCTTGCTGTTAATGCGATTATCATGCATGCAGTGTTTATGACCTTATGTTAATTGAGAATCTACATGGAATATTCATATTTTTTAAAGTTCATTTGTCACACGATGTTGAACATTAAAAATGAACTTCTGATGTCAACAAGCTAATTAAAAATACCACCTAGAAACCAATTACAGCACCTAAGATATACACTTTCCCTTCTCACATTTATATACATTTTAAGTAGACATGTCAACAACCCATATATGAATATCAACCAGTCACCTGTCTAGGTCTTCAAATTCATTAATACATAAGACATGCAAATTCAAGAAAATATGACAATTAATTTCAAGGTCAAAGGAGTTTATTTTGAGTCACATACAGATATTTATATTACATACACAGTACCTTTAAAATGTCGGGTGCTAACAGCAATCCATAGTGCTGTTTAAATCTTTAATTTTTATTTTTATTTTTTTCCCCAACCATCTCATTTTATCTTGCATTTGTAGAATAATTTGATTTGAACAACAGCCTGGAGCAGGAGGCGTGAAAATGGCATTAGATGTCAAACAGCACTGCGTAAAGAACCACAGTCTCCTCCTGAAACTCAACAGAACGGCTCACTGACAGCACACAGAGAGAGATGGAGGTTTAAAAATACCGTCTGAGTCCAAATGAAACCATAAAGAGTTGATTGAGTTGAACAGGAGACTCGTCACATTAACTAGCACACGGCGTGAATTCATGATTACAAAAACAATCCATTATTCATTATTCCATTATTCACTTAAAGAGTTGTGTTATTGCACTACTGCGATTTTTGACACTGAATAACCCTAGAAAAAAAAAGAAATGAAAAAAGAAAGGAAATCAGAAGAAAGGAAGGACAAAGCAAAAAGAAGGGGAAGACAGAAATGTAAACATGAAGAAAGGAAGAACGAAAGGAAACAAAACAAAAATCAAGAAAGAAGGAAAGTAAAGGAAGGAATAAGGAAAAGAAAAGGAAGGAAAGGAAGAAGGAAAAGAAAATGAAGGGAGGCAATATTAATGAAAGGAAAGGAAAGGAAAGGAGGAAAATGGGAAAAGGGAAGAAAGGAACAGAAACAGGAATAAAGTAAATGAAACCAAAAGCAAAAATGAGGAAAAACAAGAAAGGAAGAAGGAAAAGAAAGGGAAGGAAGAGAAAGAAGATGGGAAAAAGACAAAAAATGATGGAAGGAAATAAAGGAAGAAGGAAAGTGAAAAAAAAGAAGAATGGAAAAGAAACAAAGAAAGAAAGAAGGACAGTAAAAGAAGGAAACAGAGAAAGAAAAAGAAGGAAGGAAACAAGCAGGAAATAAGACAGGAAGAAGAAAAGGAAAAGGGAAAAATAAATTAAAAGACGGAAGAACGAAAAGAAAAGGAAAGAAAGTGAAGGAAGAAAATGAAACAAGAAGGAACTGAGGAAGTAAGATGGAAAGGAACAGAAGGAAGAAGTAAAGGAAAATGGAAAGAAAGTGAAAGGAGTCAATAGTAATGAGGAAGTGGTCTGTACTGCTCTGAGTGTTTCCTTTGATTCATCAGCGGTACACT